GTTTACATAGTAGCCTACTTGTACTGCAGTAAAATATTTTCGTAGGAATGGAATTGTTTTTAATTTTTCAATTTTATGCCTTTGACCTGAACCAAAGATAGTACAAGACAAGATGGGCCACTTCTCTCTTTGAGCCAATTAAAAAAGTGTCCTCAAAATTTGGTGGCGCCCTCTTCACAAAAGCGCACTCTTTGCGAACAGAGTTACCCTACTTGAGTTTTAAAAAATCAAAGTGAAACTAGCAAGTTTTGGGATAAATTTCGGAAGAACGCTTTTTAAAAATGGTTACGCTGACAAAAAACCTCTTCCGGAGGAAAAGGAGATGGTTTTCTTCCTTTAATTTGACTTTAGAATGAAGGGCGAGAGGTCATTAAAATTTTTTAAAACCTAAAACTCCGCACTGAACGTACCCGAACTGCTGATGAACAGCAGTCGATCTGCGCACGCAAGGAGGTGCTATTCCTATTCTTCTTCTGGAAAAACGAAAGAGAGCTTCAAAACAGACTGCAGCGCCATCTGAAGCAAAGAGCATACTTCCTGCGGACACTTTTTAGGCTGAGTGGCCCATCTTGTCTTGTACTATCTTTGCCTCAACTAATTTCTTTTTCAACCAGCAATGTCTTAAAATATTTCTATACACATTCTAACTAAACACTATTTGACTTTCTAATGATTAGTGTATGAATCTACTCTCTCTCTCTCTCTCTCTCTCTCTCTCTCTCTCTCTCTCTCTCTCTCTCTCTCTCTCTCTCTCTCTCTCTCTCTCTCTGTCAGTCAGTCTGTCTCTCTCTGTCAGTCAGTCTGTCTCTCTCTGTCTGTCTGTCTGTCTGTCTCTCTTTCTCTCCCTCCCCCCCTCTCTCTCTCTTTGTGTGTGTGTGTGTGTGTGTGTGTGTGTGTGTGTGTGTGTGTGTGTGTGTGTGTGTGTGTGTGTGTGTGTGTGTGTGTGTGTGTGTTTGTGTGTGTAGGGAGGGGGGGTATCATGTAAGTATTGAACAGTTTTTCTCTAATTAGGCTATTTTGATTTGCTCATCATCATTGCTTATTTATACACATGCGTGCATGAATTGTTCACAAACAAAGGGCATGTTAGGCTTGTTCTGACAAAACGTCTATGCATATCAATTGTGTCCTTGTTTTTTTGTCTCTAGTAAAGAAGTGCTCAACTTACATGACCCATGGGCTCTCCAATGGACAAGTATCCTGCTCAAACAATAATGTCCTTGGGAGTATCTGCACCTACTCTTGTAACTCTGGTTATCAGCTTACTGGACCATCTAGTTCTGAATGTCAGGATAATCAGCACTGGTCATACCGGACCAGACCTGAGTGCATAGGTGTGTTCATTATTTTATTTATGCTGTATGAATAAAGGTAGTTCATTAACCCTTTGAGGTCGGTTTGCCTTTTGACTAGATGTTGAATTTTTTTTTCTTTCTGGTTTAACCTCATTTAATTTATAAACATACCTGCTCACCTGTATCCTCATAGATCAAGTTTTCATTATTAATGATTCTTTTCTGAATATGTTGGGGGGTAATGCATGCTCTTAGCTCGAAATCAATCTTTTCATGCTGAAAATGCTATCATTTACCTTTTTCAAACGGAATTTGCTGCAACAAAGAAGCCTATAGGTAATAGGCTTATGGATTTTAAGAGTTAAAGTCTTCAGTATTCTTTTACTTTCCCCTCCCATCTCACACTTAGCTACAGTTTGTCCATTTTCTACTAAATATTGATGCGCTGAACACGAATATCAACTTAATTTCCGTGGCAAGTCAACAATTTTTGAAATGGTTGATTGTTCTGAATCGAGCTATGTCACACCATGCCTAAGTGCGTAGTAATTTGCGCCCTTTAGACCAGTCGGGGGTTTCAGGAGGGCCTGCCGCCCTGTTTTGACCCATATTTTAATATTTTACAGTTTGGTTTGAAATTTTCTTGAAAGTAATTGATTTGCGCCAGTTTTAGTGACTTTATGTGTGATCTGCAGCTAACAATATAGTCGAACCTGCTCTGGCGGTCACCTCTATAAGACGGCCACCTGTACAAACGGCCACTTTCCATTTCCCCCCTTGCGTTTTTTCTATATAATTTAACTGTGTAAAACGGGCACCTGTCCAACGCGGCCGCGGCCACAATAATTTAACACACAACCCCTATAATACTAAGCAATAATACCTGTCTAAGACGGTCACCTTAGTGACTCCATTACGTTTTGTCATAAATTGTGCATTGGCCCCTGGCGTTGTGGGCGAGCCGTCATAATTCAGTCACCAGTCGTTGTTGTTAGGTAGTCCCTCCAACCGATCATGTTGTGTAGGCCCCTCCCACTGTTGACCAATAGCTACCAATTTTC